ACTCCTATTGCAGCATCCTCCCAGTTCCAAAGGCACGGGATGTACATCCAGGGCCGCCGTGTCTCCAGTCTTGCGTCGTGGAAGAGAACCGTACCAAACATATGTGGGACGTAGGCCCGATAGTAGTATGTCACGGTCTGGGCGTCTACGTTGGGTGGGCACTCCCGAAACTGCTGACGAAGCCACCTCAGGGACACCCCACTGCTGCGCCGTTTCTTGTCAGCCTCAATTGCCGCTAGGGGACGTCCCAAGAAGTGCTCAACCCGCTGCTGCCATCCTTCAGACTCCGTGTCTCCTGTCACTAGGAATCCTTGGATTTTGACTCCAAGGATCATGGCAACGTCCTCGAGAGTGACCGTCATCTCCCCGCATGGTAGGTGAAAGCTGTGTGTCTCCGAACGCCACCGATCTATCAACGCCGTGAGCGCCGCTGGGTTGAAAGGTGGCATGCCTTGACGACAAACACGAGCAACGGTAGCAAGGTTCGCCAGCTTTAGGAGGGGCGTGTACCTCTCGTCGTAGACCATGGTCGTAGAGGCCTCATGTGTCATTGGCCTCAGCACATTCAAAACCTGCAAAAAAAGACAAGCATGAAAAAGTATTAGTTCATATCACTTTATAAAGAGCATGGACTATAGAGCAAAAGATGAACAATGCATTGTTTCATATGAATTATTGAATATACCTCTCCGTTCTCGATCCTCCGAGCCCGGTGGTGCTCATCGAACCTTGGATCAAGAAGGGGGAACTGATCCATCCTGCAACATAAGGAATGCCAAAGCATTAGTATAAGTTAAAGCATGTATATGTGGTACGAAGTAACATAACAATAAAAAAACAAAAGTAAATCAATGCACTATTACACAAAGCAATTCAAGTAGCTAGCTTGGTGGATACCTGTTGTCTAAGTAGTTCAGGACATTTTCTCTTATTGTGGCCCGTCTTATGGCAACCAGAGTAACGACTCTTTTGGGTGTCCTCTACAAATGTGTCCCAACCTTACTCGTGGTTGATCTACCTTTCGTGGCTCGATCCATGTCCATCCTGAACCGCTTCCGCCGCCTAGGTCCTCTACTCTTCCAGAGTAAACCAAGATCAGCCACATACTTGGGGCCATCATAAGTAGGCCATTGACTCTCGTCAAGAAATGGCTCGAACTGAGGATTCCAGGTGCTCATTAGGTTCCTCAAAGAGAACTCCGCGGCCATACGGGGAGGGACCTCAGCGTCAACACGTCTAAGGCGACAGGCTGCAATCATGTGGGAGCAAGGCCTATGGTATATGGTCGGTTTTCCACACATACACTTGTTCTCATTGATCACTACTTTATGTTTTCGAGCACCCCGGTCTTCACCACCAATGTTAGTTCCACCACCCTCTAGAATCTCATATCCATGGTTGATCGGATCGAAACATGAACCCTTCTATCGTTTAGACTTTTTCTTTGAGAAAGCTAGTTCCTGAGATGCTAAAAGTGGCCAAGCTTTGCCTGCTGTCCATAGAGACCTCGCATGTTTCTTTCTCGAAACGAACCAAGCATTCAACTTGTAGAAGGTGAATGAGGCAATAGCAGTCACAGGCAGACCACGACAACCTTTTAGAAGGCTATTGAATATCTCTGCCATGTTACTAGTCATGAAGCCCCATCTCCAACCTCCAGTGTCATATACAAGTGACCACTTATCCTTCGATGCCATCAACTCGCTCAAGAATTACCTGCCATCAACATTTGTGGCTAACTTCAGGGCATCTAGCTTGTCTTTGAATAATTGAACCTCTTGCTGCCTGCAAACCTTCTCAAATAATTTGAAGTTGTCCTTTGTGTGATCACGCCTTATAAGATTCTGAACAAGGTGTCTGGTGCACCACCGGTGATGTATTTGGCCGTAACCAGGAATCTCTTGTTCTACGACATTCACAATGCCAGCATGCCTATTGGATATCACACAAATATCACATCCTAGACCAATTACCACTTGTCTTACTAGCTTGAGAAACCAACACCAACTATCCATGTCCTCCTTCCGAACAATCGCAAAGGCCAATGGCACAAGCTGGTCTTCTGCATCTGTCCCAATACAAACAAGCATTGTGCCTTCAATTTTCCCTATAAGAAAGGTCCCGTCAATTGAGACGACGGGCCTGCAATGCTTGAATGCTTCGATGCTCTGCCCGAACGCCCAAAAGGCCCTTCCAAATACCTGGCTACCATTCCTTGTTTCACCCTCCTTAGGTAAATAGTCAAAGTGCATCCCAGGATTTACAGCCCTCATTGCGTTCAACATTACAGGGAGGCACTCATAAGCTTCTTCCCAATTTCCAAATATTATTTCCAGTGCACGCTGCTTTGCCCTCCATGCTTTTCCATACTTGACATAGTAATTGTACCGTTGGAAGATGATCTCAACCAACGCGGACACCGTAATGGTTGGCATATGCTTCACCATGGGGCATAACTGCCTTGCAATAAACCTAGAATTGAGCTGCAGATGGTTATCTTCTGCCTCAGCAGTGGCACAAACATGTGGTTGCTTCATTGAGGTAATCTTCTATTTGCCTACCTTCGTCTTCCTAGCACATACTCTCCAACCACACTATTGTTCTTCACAAGCAATAGTGTACCTCTTCTCCTTGAATGAATTGATGATCCTAAAAGGTCGGTTGTGTACAATGGAGTACTCTTGCAACCATGTTTTCAACTCATCCATGGTAGCAAACAATATGCCCTTCCGTATGATGAGGCAACCGCTAACATCAGGCACTGTTGTATCACTTGGCCCACCATCAGCTACTGCCCTGTGACCATGGCTAAGGTCCTCGAAATCACCAACTAGTGGATCTCTCCAAGGCAAGACCCTAGACAATATCTCTATTTCCCTAAAATTGAGACGACCAACAGGGCGATCGTCATCAGAGTCTTCGGCTATCTCCTCTATGAAGGATTCATCGTCTCCAGCTATCTTCATGTCAAAACGGTTCGTAGCCCTAGCATCACCAAAGTCTTCTTCACCACTAAGATCATCTTCGTCGCTAAGCTCATCCTCAATAGAAAAGTCTCCGCTAGCGTCGTCCAAACCTTCTTCTGCATCACCAATTACATAATCATCATCCTCTTCGTCACTATCATGATTGCCCTCACCATCGGCAATCGCATTCTCCTCGTCATCTCCACCGCCCTCAAACCAACCTCCATCACGCTCGAGCGATCCAAACACTTCACCACCACCGTAGCCTAGTTGTGTGACAAGTATTTCTTCTTCAGACAAAGGACCATAACCTATGTGAGCAGGGGAAGATGGGCATGCTTCGAAGTTATCATTTCCTAAGCCAAACTCCTTACTTACTACTAAATCCAAAGATCGCACTTCTGAGGCCAATACAACTGCCTTGTAATCATTTCATTCAGACTCGCTTGTAATTTTGAGCAACCGCTTGATCCGAGGACCCTTCAACTACCCAACATCTATGACACCTTCAAACTGAACATGCACGTCTCCTTCATTCCAGCCTAACTTAACCTTCACTCGCTCCACTAACTAGGTCAAAGATGGTGTTTCAGAAAAAATCAACAACTCCTCACACATGTCCAGAAATTCCAAACTATCATCTCTTGTCCTAACAATACAGCTTCCATGATGCAACCTCACTAATTTATCCATCTACAGCCATCACACAACAAGTAGTGTCACATATCAATATATCATGCGAGTTTCAATCCAATAAGTAGAAACTAAAATATATCATTTCGTCTTTTTCAACCCCAACAACATAATCATTTCTAGTCATAAAAAATTGAAATCTAATGACCAACAAATAACTAAAATACATAATAACCCTAATGACCAACAAATAACTAACCCTAATGACACCTACAATAAACAAAGAACCCTAATGACCAAAATAACTAGAAACCAAACTAACCTAACATGTTCAGCACATAAAACAGTTAAACAACAATGCACTCAATCAACCTAAGCCATACATTTTGCAAATGCAAATACACATATACCAAAACACCATACACCCATGATTCCACATAATTAGAGACAATGCAAGCACATCTACACGGATAGATTGAAGGAGGGGAGCGACCATTACCTCGAGGAAGCTTCGGGAGACGAGATCCGGGCACCTAGGGTCGCATTTGGGGGTTAGGGTTTCATGGGGGCCGTGGGGGGAGACGAACAGAGAGCTGGCGCTTTCAGAATGGAGGGAGGAAGAAGAAGAAGGGGGTCGCAGCGCGGCTTCAAGAGTCCAGACCTCGGCGTTGAGTCGAGCCGCGCCGAGTCTGGTGGCTCGACGTTAAGTGACCCCGCGCCGAGCTATTGGGCCACGAAGCGTTGTTGGGCCGCCAAGGCTGCGCGCCGGATGGTGCCAATAGCTCGACGTGTAGTCCCACCGCGCCGAGGTTGGGCCTGTGGCGTTGGCTGATACAACGCCGACGTGTCGGACCCTATGCGCCACCGTGTCGCCGTCGACCGGGGTCGTCCGTGACGTGGCAAGACCTCGGCGTCTTGTCAGTCGACGCCGACCCTCATACCTTGGCATCATGTTCTAAGACGCCTAAAAAATGATCTATTTTCAGCTAACGTTTTGGCATAGGTCTTTTTATAAAAAAATGTTTTTAAAAGAGACCAAAATGTAAAAATCTCACAGAATGAGCGAGGGGTGAGATTAAGAGACCGTTAGAGATGCTTGTTGAGAGACCGCTGAAGATGCTCTAGTACTCATCAGTTCTTGGTTAATTCGTTTTAAAAAAAAAACAGCGAATGTGATGTGCTGGTACGTCCGCACAGTACTTGAGGCCACGCTGACGCTAGATTATTCTTGCTCAAATATAGCATCCGATTTTGGTGGGAGGAAAGGAAGCCAAATGGACCGACGTGGCGCTCAAATTCTCGGCGGCCAGCCGGCCGACCGGTCCTAGCTATCTTCGCCGGCCGATCGACGACGAGCACCGCGCCGCGCCCGCCATTAATTTGTTGTGTATATACGTTCCCATGGCCAAAAACTCCGAGGAGGAGGAAGCGGAGGAAGAGGTGAACGAGCACCCGATCGAGGAGGTCCGGAACACGGTGCCCATCACCGACAACCCGTCGGAGCCGTGCCTGACGTTCCGGACATGGGTGCTGGGGATGTCCTCCTGCGTGCTGCTGGCCTTCGTCAACGAGTTCTTCAACTACCGGTCGTCCCAGCTGAGCATCGGCACGGTGCTGGTGCAGATCGCGTCGTTGCCCATCGGCCGCCTCATGGCGTCCACGCTGCCGGAGCGCCCGGTCCGCGTGCCGGTGCCGTTCGCCGGCGGCGGCAGGTCGTGGTCCTTCTCCCTGAACCCGGGCCCCTTCAGCCTCAAGGAGCACTGCCTCATCACCATCTTCGCCGGCGCCGGAGCATCCGGTGTCTACGCCCTCAACATCATCGCCATCGTCAAGGTGTTCTACCGGCGGCAGATCAACCCGTACGCCGCCATGCTGCTGGCGCAGACCACCCAGCTGCTCGGGTACGGATGGGCTGGCCTCTTCAGGAAGTTCCTCGTTGATTCCGCCTACATGTGGTGGCCGATGAACCTTGTCCAGGTCACGCTCTTCAGGTCAGTCAGTTTTTATTTATTTGCTTCCAATATAATCCTTGTTGTCGATACGAATGAACATGAACATGACATTTAGAGCCATGCACGAGGAGGAGAAGCGTCCCCGGGGCGGTGTGACGCGTCTGCAGTTCTTCATCATCGTCATGATCTGCAGCTTCGCCTACTACCTGATCCCGAGCTACCTGTTCCCGTCGCTGAGCACGGTGTCGGTGCTGTGCTGGGTGTACAGGGACTCGGTGACGGCGCAGCAGATCGGGTCGGGCCTGCGTGGCCTCGGCGTCGGCTCCTTCGGCCTGGACTGGAACACGGTGGCCGGGTTCCTCGGCAACCCGCTGGCGTCGCCGGCCTTCACCATCGTCAACGTCATGGCCGGGTTCGCGCTCAGCACCTACGTCGCGCTGCCGCTGCTCTACTGGACCGACACCTACAACGCCCGGCGCTTCCCGCTCATCTCGCCGCACGTGTACGACGACGCCGGCAGACCCTACGACACCGGCCGCGTCATCAACCCGGACACCTTCACGCTCAACCTCGCCGGCTACGACGCCTACAGCCGCATCAACGTCAGCGTGCTCTTCGCCGTCAACTACGGCATCGGCTTCGCCAGCCTCATGTCCACGCTCTCGCACGTCGCGCTCTACCACGGGAAGGAGATCTGGGACCTCTGCCGGAAGCAGCAGCAGCAGCAAGCGACGTCGGCTGACGACGTGCACACGCGGATCATGAGGTGCAACTACAAGCCCGTGCCGCAGCGGTGGTTCCACCTCATGCTCGCCGTCGTGCTGCCGCTCTCGCTCTTCACCTGCGAGGGCTTTGGCCGGCAGCTGCAGCTCCCCTACTGGGGCCTCCTCCTCGCCTGCGCCATCGCCTTCGCCTTCACGCTCCCTGTCGGCGTCATCTCCGCCACCACCAACATGCAGCCGGGGCTCAACATCGTCACGGAGCTCATCATCGGCTACCTCTACCCGGGGAAGCCGCTGGCCAACGTGGTGTTCAAGACGTACGGCTTCATCAGCATGGGCCAGGCGCTGGCGTTCCTGTCCGACTTCAAGCTGGGCCACTACATGAAAATCCCGCCGAGGTCCATGTTCTTCGCGCAGCTGGCCGGAACGCTCACGGCGTCCACGGTGCACTTCGCCACCGCGTGGTGGCTGCTCACCACGGTCAAGGACATCTGCGACGTGGACAGGCTCCCCGCCGGCAGCCCCTGGACGTGCCCCGGCGACGACGTCTTCTACAACGCCTCCATCATCTGGGGCGTCGTCGGCCCGCTGCGGATGTTCGGCACACTGGGAAACTACTGGCAGATGAACTACTTCTTCCTCGTCGGCCTGCTGGCGCCGCTGCCCGTGTGGCTGCTCCAGCGCGCGTACCCGACCAACCGCGTGCTCGCCGGCGTCAACCTGCCGCTCGTCTTCGCCGGCGCCAGCGGGATGCTCCCCGCGCGCAGCGTCAACTTCCTCATGTGGGGGCTCGTCGGCTTCCTCTTCAACCACGTCGTGTACCGCCGCTACAAGGCCTGGTGGATGAGACACAACTACGTGCTCGCCGCGGGACTCGACGCCGGCGTCGCGTTCATGGGCGTCCTCACCTTCGTCGCGCTAGGATACTTCGATGTCTACGGCCCGCAGTGGTGGGGCGGCGTCGCCGACGACCGCTGCGACCTGGCCGGCTGCCCCACGGCGCCAGGAGTCGTCGCCAAGGGATGTCCGGTGGTCGCATAACGACATATAAGAGGGGAGTCCATCTTCATGTGTCGTCGTCGGTCGTGTCCCATCAGAATCAGAACCATCCGTCTGTGTGTATGCATGTCCAAATCATCTAACGCGACGATGAGTCTGCGTGTAAATTAATTGAGCTCTTGTTATTTAGTATATAATAAGTACAAATGTTGTACAAGAGTACTCCTCATTAATAGTACTCCATGTGTATATTTATTTACAGTAACTTATCTTGCGGTATCACTTAGATCCCAAAACTTTCAAAATGCATTTTCAATCAAGTATATTTAAACATGTCTCGTGGTGCATCCATGTCTTAAACTCTCAAAATAAAATTTTCAGGTACCTGAACTCCTCTTGGGAGGTCCGAAACTCTGAAAAATTTAGTTTGGGTCTACTAGATTTCAGGTGTCTGAAATAGACTCTTTTTTAGGCGATGCTACAGGCCCTTAGATGTGCATCCAAGGGTTAGGTCAGTCCGCCGTCTCCCTTCTCTGCAACGTGTTCAACCCAGAACCAATCCGCCCTCTCCGTACGACCGTACCAAATTATTTCTTGGCACCTCAGATCAGCATATTCCATCTCCAACCCCCGCTCCGTTCCCCGCACACTTTGACCCAAAAAGTTGATCCATCTTCGAGCACACGATCCCATTCCCGTTCTCAATCTCGTCCAGCAAGCCGCGGCGCCAAGCCTAGAAGCAGAGCATGGAGGACGCGTCACAAATTTTAGGCGACTGTGGTATAGGAAAAGTGTTTTAGTTTTTTTGGTCCTCGAAACTTGTCATACTATGCCATCAAGGTTCGAAAACCCTCTAGCACTCCATCTATACATGCTCTCTCCCTTTCTTCTAGCTCTATCTCCATTATCCCCCTCTCTCTCCGTATTCCAATTTAGTGTGGCATCGTATCACAGACGCCAACTAGCGATCTGCAACCCATGCCTTCATCATCCTCAACATCAAAGGCTACAATGTCATCAGTAGTGGCGACAACAATGCCAAAGCTAGTACTCCTTAGGCAGAAGAGGTATGTGTCGGTGTTTCAAGTAAACGCCAACGAGTAAATTTGTGTTATTGCGCGTCTGGCCCAGATGATGTGCTAAAAAGACACAAGGTTTATACTGGTTCGGGCAGAATGTCCCTACGTCCAGTTCGTGGCTGCTGCTCGTGTTATTAGCGTTGAAAAGTTCGTAGTAGGGGTTATAAACGGACGAAAAGAAAAATAAGTTTGAAAGGAGAAAAGAAAAATGAGAAGTTGAGAAGAATACAAAATATCAATAAATGTTACATGATGGACTTAAAAACGCAGATGTGTATAAACTTCATCTACACTCATCTAGAAAATTATAAGAATACGTGCTTGTCTCGGTAAACTATCCATGGCTACACAGTTTTGGCGATCTAATTCAGGTAAAGATCCAAAGGTTTCCATGGAAACCTGATACATATAGGACTTTAGTTCATATATATACAAAGCAATCCTACACTAACATATGCATAGAAATTCAGAAGCGTCAAATCGTAATCTAACTAAATCTGTGACAGGAACCATTATCACTGCCAAACAATATAAAGAAGTAAAAGCAGACAAACTGTTGATAGAGAGGGGGGGGACACTGAATAAATAGAAAAATCAACACTTTTGTTGGTAATGGAAGGCATAATTTACCTACCGTAGGAATGGAACATGACATTGCCATTCAGAGAATTTCTGTCTGTAAACTGCACCCATCATGAATGAATTGTGCTCCCAAAATGAAATTGCATCTAATGTGATTATCTTGTTGGGGGTAGTTTTGTAACTTTTAGACTTCACAAAATCTTTTGATAATCTATGTTTAGGTAATGTGCATGCAGGAGGACACAAACAATAAACTCCATAATGTAGGTACACTGTTTGTACGTTTCTTAGGACTAAAGCAGGAATAAGAACCAAACAAAACCTAAAATCGCTCTCCCATAGGATACTTTCACTTCATTTGTTAAAACTAAAACTCTTCCAAGTTCACAAAAATAATAGCTACTAAAGACAGCATTGACATGTTTTCTATCTTAGCAAGAGCATTTCAGCATGATTCATTTTGATCAACAAAACATAGAAGCTCTCCACATGTACGGCATATGACAAGTGAAAAGCACTATAGATATGATAACATGTTTCCAAACATGGAGAATTGGAATGCCCACAGGTGTCTCTGATATACTCAAGATTTGTAAGCAGTCATACATGTGTCTCTATAAACTCGATCCTGATAAGCAGTCATCTCATCTACAGTTCAAGGTGGAGTTAAATATCTAATAAAGTAACAACTGACTTAGGAAAAAACTATAGAAAATAATAAAATAGGAAAGAATGTAAACAGTGACATATGGGTCAAATGAGAAAAAAAATGAAATACATGAAAGGCTTTAGTTCTTGAAGCTAGTAGAAAATTTTAAATTGGTATCACCATTCAGGCAAGGTCACTCAACTGCATATTTCAGCAGGCAATTGATCCTTGTAAGCAAATGACATGTTTGAGAGCAGAATAAACATAAAAAGCAATCCAGATAAGGTTGCACAAGTCAAGAACTTTTGGCATGGGCCTCCAATCACTGCTGCTTGTCTATGAAGCAGAATAATTCTTTCAACCACAGCACTACCAGTCTAGCAGAGGAGGCGCAACCATTTGAAGATGGTAATAACCAAGATAACTGACAGCGTATATTGAAAGTAAAGTCGCAACATAGAGCACCAAGGTAGCAAAATCACCTTGGGTGTGGTGAGCATGGTCAAGTTGCCATGCGGCAAGCATCCGGGAGGGTGGCAGGCAAACTATGACATTCTTGTTGTGAAGTCAATTTTCTATTCATCTCTTGACCATGCTTCAGGACGAGCGAGCTTTCTCACCTTCAGGGACATGTCATCGTGGGCTTCAATAATTCTTCTCAATCATCATTGAATGTGACTTAACCAGCTGCCTGAGTCCATGAACCAAAAAATTCAGGAAAAGATGCTATATTAGGCCAATCTCCGGCAAACTCGACATCACCATCTAAATTTTTTTCTGGTAAAGGTGTTACCTTTGGCTAAATCAAAAAGTGAGGAGTAGAATAGCAGCTGCCCCCCACAGTAAGACAATTATTATAATTGTTTGTTACTATTTATTTATTGTTGTAGTGGTTACATGGCCCCTGAGTATGCGACGGGTGGCAATTACTCGATGAAGTCAGACGTTTACAGCTTTGGTATCCTGGCTGGAAAACGAAATGGCGGCCACCATCTACTTAATCCGGTGAGTGTGGCTTAGCTCTGTAATAAGCGCCCTATTGGATACAATCAATCAAATAATTAACACGACCCAACCCATTCCCTGAGCTGAGCAGGTGTGGGAGCATTGGGACAACGGAACGGTGATGGACATCATCGTGGGTTCGTCATCTCTCAGCAGCAGCAGCTCCGGTGAGATGCTGAGGGGGTGCGTTCAGATTGGGCTACTGTGCGTTCAGGATAGCTCTGCTGACAGGCCCACGATGTCGGCGGTGAATGTGATGCTGTTTAACAGCAGCGACACCCCAGGACCAGCAGGAGCTTCCACAGGGACAGGGTCACAGAACGACGTGTCGAGCGTGTCTCACGTAGCTTTATGAATTTTTAAAATACATTTCTAGCTACTTAAACTTATTACGTGGTGCACCGTAGATCCATAGCAATCACGTATACATTCTTCTTCTTCTTTTTTGCCGATGTGGCATGCCAGCGTGACATATATTTTTTATTTAACCCATCACATCTATTTTTCTCGTAAAAAAGACCCCAACGCCCGCCCTACTCACCAACGCAAACAGCGTGTAACACCAGCGCGGCCGACCTGATGGCGAAGCCCTTCCCGATGGCGGCCGTCGTGTTCCAGACTGACTCGGGCTTCTACGCCGCGCAAGAAGATGACGAAGCAGCTGACGGGCACGCCCAGGATGACGCCAACTGCTGCAACAGCCTGGGCGTGCTCAACCAGCTCGCCGCCACACGCGCCGACCGCGTCGCCGCCTGCGCCTGCGTCAAGGCCGCCGCCGCCGTGGGGTTCCCGGCCATCAGCTTTGCGCTCGCCGCCGGGCTCCCAGCCGCCTGCGACCTCTCCATCAGCTTCACGTCTTCACCATCTCCCGAATTGACGCTTGTTTTGTGCCACCGTCTGTCCGTGCAGAGCCAGAGCGTCGTGTCTTCAATTCTTGCTCCGGTGCTGTTAGCATGTTCTTGCGGTCGAAGATCCAGGAGATGATCCTGCAGAAGAGATCGAGGTCGATGAACAGCGCCGGCGCGCAGAGGAGCGAGCTCGTCGACCGTTCCATGCGACGGCGACAGTGGCGGGGACGGGGCCGTCGACGCCGGCAACAAGAATGCGACTGTGCGTGTCCTTTTCGCCTCCCCGAGGCTGCTGCACTCTGCCTCCCTGCCCGCCAGCACACGTCGCCTTCGCCAAGAGCCCGGCGCCGGACGTCGAGTCCGAGAAAGCCTTCTCCATGAGCCCGACCTCCGTGCTCGACGCGGCGGCGGCCTTCGTGCCAGGCACGGACGGCGCCGGAAAGCACCGCCTGCCGTGGCGGGCGCGGGACAACAACGGCCTTTTGGATGCGCTGGACTGCAGCGACCAGCAGCAGCAGCAGGAGCGGATCATCCTCGCGGCGAGCCGGCGACGTCGTCGTCCTCGCTGGTCAGGTCGCGCTCCCTGGACCGCCGTGCCGAGTTTGGCTTCAAGAACAAGAGCTCGTGGCTGCCCCTCTGCGCCTGCGGCGGCCGCGAGGGCACGTTGCCGGTGCCGGACAACAAGGACAACACCGCGCTGCACATCGCCGCGCGCAAGGCGCGCGCGCCACGAGATCAAGCGGCTGGTCACGATGCCGGGCACGGACCTCAGGGTGATAACCGGTCCCGCGAGACCCGTTGGACACGGCGGAGAAGATGGGCTGCACCGACGTGGCGGAGCTGCTGGCGTAGCACGGCGTGCAGTCGCTGCGCGCCATCAGCACGTGCGGCGGCGGCAACAAGCAGGCACGCGAGCTGAAGCAGCAGGTGAGCGACATCGAGCACAAGGTGCACTCGCAGCTGGAGCAGACGCCGCAGACGCGCGTGCGCATGCAGGGCATCTTGAAGCGAATCAACAAGCTGCACGAGGAAGGGCTGAATAACGCCATCAACTCGACGACGGTGGTGGCCGTGGTGATCGCAAAGGTGGTGCCATGGTGGCTTCGGCCTCCCTGTTCAGTGCTTCGTGAGCAGGGCGAGCGTTAGGGTCTATTTTTTATGAGAAAAATATACGTGAGGAGTTAAATGAAAAATATGTGCCATGCTAGCACGTCACGTCAGCAAAAAAAAAAATCCACGTGGTTGGTATGAAGCTGTGGTGCACCCCTTAACAAGTTTAGGTACCCATATGTATTTTTAAAGTTCATGAACCTACGTGACACACGTTTACAATTTCGAGGGCCGCTGGTGCATTTAACTCAACTAGAAAGTTGTAATCACATCGAGATCTATAATTTTTATATAAAAATCATCTCCATCCAATATCGTATGGAAAAGATACAATTTTTCTAAGACTGAACTTCTAGTGTGCCAAATTCGGTTTAAACCGAATTTCAAATTTAAGATATTTTGAATTAAAACTGGAAAAGTAGAAAACGGTTGGAAAAACGGCTAAACCGTTTTCGTTCCGATTCGAATTTGGTGTTCTGTATTTCGAACCAAATTCAATTTTGTACAAAAATATGATTTCGATCGGATTAAATATAGAAAACGATGTGGTTCTGTACGCGGTATTTTCGTACCGTTTTCATCCCTACTGTTATCACAGCCAACCAATAGCATCCATCCAATAAATATGCACTAATTATATCTATTATTTAAAAATAATAGCAACTAATTAGACACTATAAATATGCACTACTACTAATTTTATCAAAATAATCACTAATTTAAAAATAAAATATGTTAATTAGCACCACTAATGTCCTAATTAGCACACGAAACATACATTCATATTAGCACTTATCAAAACTAATCTTACCATCATAATTACTACTCCCTCTGTTCCAAACTACAAGTTGTTTTAACTTTTTTGGTACATCTATTTTACTATGCATCTAGATATAATAATATGTCTAGATACATAGTGAAATAGATGAATCTAAAAAGTCAAAGCGACTTATAATTTGAAACGGAGCGAGCAAGTAATAATATCGCATACTAATAATCCTTAATTTATTTATTAATGGTTATCTACAAGACGTCTTGGTTATGTTTAGTCTAAACTTTATTTTGTTTTGGTTACCAGTGTGGCTGGCGGCAAAGGTGTTGTTTTTGAAGTATGTGTGTGTGCCTTTGGGCGAGACGTTGTAATAATTGGCCTGATTCTATCGGTTGATAGATGAAGCCGGATATAAACTATCCATTATCTAAAAAAAAAAAGATTAGAAGACATGGATGAGCTAGTCCGTCAGATTTTTTCGGCCCAAGAAATCTAGCATCTGAGAGTATATATCTCCTATCCATAGATTTGCTTATCCCGGTGATTCACCTAACCAAACACTGCATTTCCATGGATCCCATCCATGAATATCAAGCAACCAAACGCACCCCCAACTGATTTACAGCTACAACAATTCAAGACTGCAACAATTCAAAACTGGCGGGAAGCACTTGATGACCGCAACAAAGCGGCAGGAATTTGATTTTTAACAACAATTCCTTCATCAGAAGGAAAGAGACATTGTTCTGACACCAGCAACAACAATTTCAAGGAGTTGGGAAAACAGCTCTCAGCTCTGTACATCAAGGTCTATTTTAGATTATAAACATCCAACCATAAGTAGCTTTCAGCTCACAAGATTTTATCCCTAGGAGGAACAAGGTGCTAGATTAGAAAGTAGGCAGGCTTCAATATTCAGATGTCCTTTGTTCCAGATTCACTTCCATCCTTCTTGGTGGATCCAGCTGCATATATAAAAGTATATAGGGCTCAGAAGAATAGCTACACAAGGTATTGCTGTAGTCTTTATAATAAGAAGGGCCACGAATGAAAAGAATAGTCCAAGTAGTACAAGTGTACAACATAAAGAAAGTGACAGTGTTAAGTGATTTGTAAGCAAGGAATTCTTCTTCCAGTCATAGCAAAGATTCATAAATGTAAATAAATGCAGGGGAGAATTGAAGGCGACCGTTGGAGCAGATGGACGCCAGACGCTCTCGCAGTCGCCAGCGCATCACCCCGCCGCCACTGCTTCGCGTGTACTCCCTCGGTCCCTCCGCACTCCGCAGCCACTCGCGACGGGATTTCTTCCACGCCACTGGAGGCCGGGCTCGGTTCCCGGGCACGGATGAGGGGGAAAGGCCAGGGTTGGTTGTTGAGGAGGATGGCCTTGATGCGCTCGGCTCCATCTCGCTGATGACCTCGGCGCTGTCGGAGCTGTAGAGGCCGGGGACGTTGTCGGCGCCTCGGGGGTGGATGGATCTGCGCCGAAGAAATGGGGACCTGGCCGGAGTGTGGAGACGGATTGACGGCTCCAGCGGTGAGCTCGTTGTGGACGAGAGGGTCCACCTGGCGGTGAGACAGTGTGGAGCGGGCTTCAGGCGTAGTCGGCCCAGGTTATGAATGAGGGGGAAGGTCGGGACGAAAACAGGCTTCGTGGACTGGGGTTTAGACGTTTAGGATGCTTTTGGTTCGAGTGCGAAGTTGGAAGGGATACAGTGATGATAGGAATATACATGCTGCATGTTTGGTAGTCACGGGCAAATTGAGATGGTCATGTCTGTTGTCCTAGACATTGCACCAAGGTGAGGTCCAGATATAGGAGTTGCCACGATGAATTTGTAACATAAAGTTTTTTTAATACCTTCTTTGACCTGAAGAATGGAAGATCAAAAAATGGATTTGGGGCTGCCGCTGGTGGCTTTCCAGAAAGAAGTATTAGGGGAGTATTTTGCCATGAGGATAGAAGTGAGGTGCTGATTTTTTGAATTTGCAATATTCCAGACTGCTTGAAGAATGAGAATTCTGTTAACGGTGTAGAGATCTCTAATTCCCAAACACCCTTTGCTCTTAGGCTGGCATATGTCTTCCCAAGAGCGAAAAGCAATTGAGGAAATAGAATTGTCATCCTGCACTCCAGCCCACCAGAAACGACGGATAATGGAAGGTTTTGGAGAATAGAACAGTAAATTGGAATGGAAGCTAGGACTGAGTTGATATAAGTAAGTCTACCCGCATGGTTCAGTTTGTTAGCCTTGATTGTGGTTAACTTGGCCTTGAATTTGTCAAGAATGAATTCATAAGCTTTGGGTCTATCTTTGCGATTAAACAGAAGGGGGTGACCCAGGTGGATAGTGTTGGGGATGAGGTCAACCACAGGGAAAATACCTTTGATGTCAGATTTGATGTTGGGTGGGACATTTTCACTAAAAAGAATAGACGATTTGTTCAGAATTAGGGTTTACATTGGGCGGACATGCTCCGACGGTGCAAGCCTATCCAGGATCACGGCCCTTCACGACGTCGTGGGCACGCACGTGCGGCCGAAGGGTGTTGTCGTCCATAAAGAGTAGTGGCCTATGTGAGAGAATTAAACCCGAGTTCGTGCAATATAATTTCAGGATAAAATACTGTTAGAGAATAACATAGACGAAGGACAATAAACTATTGAATATTTTCTGTAGTACTTATATTAGTACTTACATGTAGATTTGGAAGATATCTTGTTTTTTATAATGGCTAAGACGGATAATTTAGATTCAAATTAAAATGTGTTACTTTATATTATCTTTTATAATACATATACGGGTAATTTGAATGCAAATTTAAGGGTTATTTTATATTATCTTTTATAATGCCAAGGTGAATAATTTATAAAAAAATATTAGGGGTCGTTTAAATTTATTTTTTATTGTGGTAGAGATGGGTAATTCAGATATAAATTATGGAGTTATTTTGAATTATATCTTTTATAGTAATAAAAGATGTGGTGAAAGCTCTAGTTTGGTTTTGGTGAATTGATAAAACCCTAGGTGCTAACCTAGTTTATCAAAGTGATTATGAGATAGGTGGCACTACTCCAAGTGATGAAGCAAATGAAGATCATGACATGATGATGGTGATGCCATGGTGATGATCAAGTGCTTGGACTTGAAAAGAAGAAAGAGAAAAATAAAAGGCTCAAGGCAAAGGTATAAAAGATATGAGTCATTTTGTTTTAGTGATCAAGACACTTAGAGAGTGTGATCACATTTAGGATCGATAGCCGTACTATTAAGAGGGGTGGAACTTGTATCGAAATGCGGTTATCAAAGTGCCACTAGATGCTCTAACTCATTGCATATGCATTTAGGATCTAGTGGAGTGCTAACACCCTTAAAAATGTTTGTGGAAATATGCTAACACATGTGCACAAGGTGATACACTTGGTGGTTGGCACATTTGAGCAAGAGTTAGGAACTTCACCGGCGGAGTGTCCGCCCGTAGAGTGCGGACAGTCCGACGGTGCCACCGGCGCCCTGACAGAAAAGATGGAGGTCACTGGAAGTGACCGGACGCTGGCCTCGGTCGGACCGGCGCGTCCGGTCAGGTGGAGCATGAAGACGCAGGCGTCGGTCTCTGACCGGACGCTGGGTCACTTAGTGACCGGACGCTGGAGGGGTGCGTCTGGTCCTGCTGATATGGCAGCGCACAGAAGAGTCACCGTGTGACCGGATGCTGGGAGAGTCCGGTCGAGCATGACCGGATGCGTCCAAGCATGAAAAGTCATCTCTAGATGCTCACTGGAAACGACCGAACGCTGAGGCTCAACGTCCGGTCACTTTGAGCTGCTGCGTCCGATCATCACTTGACCATTGAGATCGAGTGCTCTGTATTTGAAGAGATGGGACACGTGGCACGCATCGCGTGACCAGACGCTGAGGTGCAGCGTCCGGTCAATATGACCGGAGCGTCCGATCACCCCGTGTTGTGCCCAGTGAAGGGGTACAACGGCTCTATTTCGTGGGGGCTTCTATTTAAGCCCATGGCCGGTTCAAGCTCATTCTCTTGGCCATTTGCATTGACATAGTAATCTTGTGAGCTTAGCCAAAGTTCTCCCACTCATCTCCATCATAGATTCAATATCTTTGTGAGATTGGGAGATAATCTAAGTACATTGCTTGAGTGTTTGCATCTAGAGGCACTTGGTGTTCGTATTTCGCTGTGGGATTCGCTTGTTACTCTTGGTGGTTGCCGCCACCTAGACGGCTTGGAGCAGCGAGGATCATCGAGCGGAGGTTGGCGATTGTCTCCGGCTCTGATCGTGGTGATTGTGAGGGGGTTCTTGACCTTTCTCCGGTGGAGAGCCAAAAGATACTCTAGTGGATTGCCCGTGACTTGTGTGATCCTCATCTGTGTTGGTTGTGCGGCACCCTATTAAGGGTTTGGCGTGTGATGCCAATTAGCGCGTGAACCTACAAGTGAGTGAATCGCCACAACGAGTAGTAGTTTGCCGGCAAACAAGTGAACCTCGATAAAAATCATTGTGTTCATCATTTGATTCCGAGGTGATTGGTCTTCATTGTTATTTATTTTTATGATTGATTGGCTCCTTCCTCGACACGGCGGTATAACCTTCTTGCTTACTCTCTTTACATTACCTCAAACTAGTTGTCAAGCTCTTTAGTGTAGCTAGTTATGAGAGCTTATTTATTTGATTAGTGTGGCTCTTTAGTTAGCTTTTGAGAGCACACTAACTTGCTATTTAGTGTGGATAGATACTATATAAACTAGAATTATGGTAGGTGGCTTGCTATTTTAGTAGGCTAGCGCAACACTTGCTTCGCCTCATAGTTATCTAATTGGTTTGTTAAGTGTTATTGTAGAAAATTTCAATAGGCTATTTACCCCCCTCTAGCCATTAGAACCTTTCAGGTGGGTAATTCAGAAGCAAATTTAGAGTGGTTATTTTGAATTATCTTTCATAATAGCAAAGGTGGACAATTAGACACAAATTTAGGGGTTATCTGAATTATCTTCCATAGTGGAAGATGTGGGTAATTTATGTCACAGAACCGACCAATTTATAAGAGCACAAGTACAAAAACAATCGCCGAAACGATCAAATTCTCGAACTTGAGCCCATATAAACCCGGTAGTCAACTGAAATCTCAAAGGATTTCAAACCAACTTGCATACAACCAAGATCACAGTAATTCAACATAACATATCGTACGTTACAACATTTCGCAGACGTTCGCAAATAGATTACATCATCACAGAGTCATCGTTATTACAAAACAAGTCTTGTAAAACATGCGGAAGCAAATAGTTTAACTCACACACTCGAGTTTAAATACACATCTTGGTTTGTTGATCACACACCGCAAAAAGCATTCGAGATAAGGGAACAGAGATCATGCCCATGATCTAGTCTTCATCACCCGCCGGGTGGAGACAATACTTACGAATCCCACGATATAGAAGGTCATCTCGCAACAAGAGGAATAAACCACGAGTGCGGGGAATGTACTCGACTAGACTTACCCGTCGAAACCAAAATAAATGACACCAAGTATTATGCATAGCTTAATGTAGTGGATCCTGGTGACACTTTATTTTTACTGTAAAAGCATAAGTAATAATGATCAAATCTTAGCTCGGACTAGCGGTGACTTTTTAGCCATTAACACATCAACTACATTAGCTTTTGTACTAAGCAATCATATTATTAGGGTGCAAACATTAATAACTATATCAGGTATTCATTGTGGCCACCTTATCATCATCCTCCATTTAACCATATCGTTAAATTAATTGAATCTACGTTGTTGCTGCTTTCGGTCAAGTTCTCACTATCCGGAGAGGCGGCGATTGAATCGATTCCTATCTAGTGGAGGGTATTCCTAAACACAAACCCCGCTTCTCCCGTCGGAGTTGCAAACAAGTCACCTTTGGTACGATTCAGAGTCACGAGTCCGATCGGATCGACATTCTCGAGAGAACCACTCGCCAAGGTTGTTCGGGACTCTAACCCGCCTTGGACTTATGCCAATGGCTCTCCACACATCCTTACTACCTCCGAATGTCGCCATCGCTCGCGTCCCGGTGCGAGTCGAGCTACTAGGCTTCATGGTCGGAACGACTTATCCGCCGACTAAGTGTTAGGTCTGCGTTCAACATGACATGAGGACGCATAAACAGATCGGTCCTTAAGCGACTCGAGACGGAGTCACTATGTTCAAACCTACACAAGACCCGCCCCGGTCTTAATTCATTATTCATATGGTTCTTTTCCACGATAGCAAATATAGCCAACCGTGATCCACCTCATCCTAAAGCTCGCAGGTGATAGGAAATCACCTGACTTCTACCGCACTAAGCATGGCTAAGCATTTAACCCGTTCCTGAACTTAAATGGGATTCCAGTGCGATATCTGGACAAGAAAGGATGTATAATGCAG